ATTTAAACGTTCGAATTCTAAATATGAAGTTATATTGTGAAATTTAGTAGATTTCAATCAATTAAGAAATAACAGAAAAACAAGCATTCTAAATTGCCGTCGTTAATACATATAATTGCTCTTATGCGAGACGGGTAGCCTGCGCTTGCGCAGACGGACGGCGCGGCGAGGCGGCGGCAGGAGGGGGAGGGAGACACAGCCTGAACGAGTAACACGGAACCCGCCAAACCTGCCACCGCGACCCCCTCTGCTTCTCTCGCGAAATGCCTTACCGCCTCCTATAGACACGCAAGACACTGACCTAGTGTACGGTGTTTAAGATCATTTCTATTTGCACCAGAACACATTACCCGAGTACACCTTTCTATTCCTTTTATAGTCACAATTCAACTAAAAGCCTTAAACATTGCATTTATTATTGGAACTTGGATATTGATGTTTTGGATTTAAGGGTTAAATTCGTATGCACTTCATCGATGACAATTTTACTCTAAAACCGACTTTATTACCAGGCTGTTTAAGTTCATTTCATTTCGTTTATGTCATTTTAATTGTGTCATTTTTCCGGATTAAAGAGTAATGCACAAGACATGTTCAAGTTTGAAGTTTCTTGGAATTGAAAAGTCGTTGTTAGATCGGATGGGTTTTTTTTTTAACAAAATTAAGTTGTCGTTGTGGGAACACATAAAAACTAGTCGGCGTTTATGACCATTGATCAATAACGTGGGGATATATAATAAAAATGGTCCAACAATAACTGTTTTTAATTAACAAATTGATTGAAATGTATGAGTTGTATTTCAATTGAGACATCTTAATAATCGTCGTTTTAATTTTTGCAAGAATAAGTTTTTTTTTTTATACAACTTAAAATGGCAAACAAGCTGACGGCCCACCTAATGGAAAGTGGTAACCGTCGCCTGTAGACATGACCAGTACCATGGACATAACAGAGTATACTGTTTCGCCCATGATACCCCCCATGCGTTGCCACTCCTGAGGACTCAGGTGTTATTCCTCTGTACCCTGTAAATTCACGCCATATCCCACCCTTCAAACCGAAACACAGTCATGCAAACACAACTGCTTCACGGTACAATGGGACAGAGATACCCAAGCAATCGACTTTTGTACAAAGTCTCCCTCTGGTAAGCTTTAGATGTTTTAAGAGGGACGCTTCTGCCCATCCTTCGCCCTCTTTTAGTCGACCTTTACGACACCCACGGGAAAGGAAGGGGTGGCCTATTCTACGCCGGGACCACATGGCGAATATGTATTTAAATAAATAGAAATAGTGGGGCAATGCGTCTGTGTTTTTAGATAACGAAAATCTCATTAAAATTTATATAATAGTTAAGTTCTATGTAGTGATGTAGAAAGTGTAAAATAGTATATTACGACTTGCGGCGCTTAATTAAATGATTATGAACTAGCTTTTATCCGCGACTGTGTCCGTGTGACCAGGATATTGCGGTTTACTGATTAGCATAAAATATAGTCTATATCATTGTCCATGACATATAGCACCTGTACACCAAATTTCATAGCGTTTAAGCAGTTAAAACGTTTCACAATTTTAATATTAGTAAGGATCATTTAATATTTCGACTAAAATCATGCTTTTTATATTAACAGCATCATAAAGGTAATAGCAGAGAAGCCGGACTGTCCACTCTAGAGGTACTGAAACGGTGTGTACGGTTATGGGCCCAGTGCAACTGGAGTTCGACACAGATACATGAATTGGATAAGTATTGTGTTTTAGTGACAGTTTTTTAAGACCTGTTACTAACATATTGTATTGTATTGTAAAATCTTTATTGTACATAATTCACATTGAACACTGATAAATGATTTAATATACAATGGCCGACTTATCCCATAAAGGGATCTCTTACAGTCAACCTTTGAGAAGCTGAAAGAAAACTGTAGACTGTACAAGGGTAATAACCGTACAATTAAAGATAAACTAAATAATGCCCAGTTAAAAATTTAACATATAATACACTACATAATATAGATTTTGGTTTCAAATAAAGTATTATTATTATTATTATAAAATATTTTTCAATATGGAGTGTCACAAGTTGAGATAAAAGCTTTAGTTCCTACTAACCAATTAGCATGATAAAGAGTTTTGTAATAAAGAACGTTTCTACGTAAGGTTTTGAAGTCGTGGAATCAAAACCATTCAGCGTTCACGAATGTCGGCGTACGCGCATTGCATTTTTATGTCCGAACTCCGGTCTCACGACCCGTTTTAAAAATGACCACAAAAAATGGTCGAAGTAAAAACCAGTATGGCCATCCATCCACATCGGATTAGTAACTCACCGTCTATTATCAGGTTGTTTACCTTCGATTTCGAGAGGTGTTTGTTTTCTATGACACTATTGCATTTTTGACACTTTGTTTTTTTTTTAACGTCTATTCGCTTCAAATTGAAAAGTCAAAGGAAAAAGATTTTTAATCTTACGTCTAATTGTCTATGTTCGAAAATCAATTCGTGAGTAAATATTGTTTTATGTGCATTTTTTGTAATGGCAAATAAACAACTTCTATGAACAGTATTACGGACATAATAAACTAACGACCATTGTGATGAGGGGTATGCTTCCATATTTCTAAGAGCTAAGATGTTCTACATTCTCACTTAGCAAATTTATAATATCAACTGGGAGGTTTGCCAGTAGTTGCCACGCTTGGCAGGCGGATTGGCAACCGCAGCCAGGCTTTAGAGATGTTTTAAGAGGGACGCTGTTGCCCATTTCTCGCCCTCCCTTAGTTGGCTTTTACGACACCCACGGGAAAGGAAGAGGCGGTCCATTCTATGCCGGGACCACACGGTCAATTTATAATATAATGAAGGTTAATCACCAAATTTGGCAAACGGCCTACTAGTACAAATTCCAACAGTTAGCGTTATAACTAGAAGTAGACTTAATACTCATATCCATAACTATTTATGGTAATTGAAATATCTACTAAAATACGAATGACGAATTTGAAGTCACGACATAAGATTAAGTGAATTTGTAATGTTTGGCGAATAATATGAATCACGGTTTTATATTGGCAAGTTTGATGACAACAGATTATGTCCCACAAAAAATTTGACTTCATTTGTGACAAAATCTGTTATTTTGATTTAAAATCTAAGTTACTGAAACGATTTCGATATAATATCTATGGGACTAACCTATAAGTGTATCTTTTCAAATAAAAAAAATTCCAAATCGGTTTAGAACTGCCTGAGTTACGAGGTAACAAAGATAAAGAAAATACAATTAAATTGAGAATCTTCTTTTTGAATTCAGTTGATAAGATATTTTTTTCATAGGCTAAATTCTTTCTTGCTTAAAACATTTCTTGATAATAATATAATACTGAAGAAATCATTGGTCATTCTATAGATACAAAATAAAATAATGAGTTCGTTTGGAGTTTATCGCGAACAATAAAACCTTTCATTTGTGTTTCTTTGCCTTGTTCTGTAATATTTTTTTAATTATAATAAACAAGTGTCACTTCAAACAGAAATACGTTTCTATGCAATCTATGCAACCAATTTATTCATATGATATTTATATCGTGCATATTATAAATACACGTGGTTACATGTAAATAGTTCATTATTGTGTTGATATTTTTTAGGTAGTAACCTTTTCAATTAAATTAATCTTTTCAATTCATCAATAAAAGGATAGTGTCGACTATTAAATAACTGTGATTATTTGTTTCTTAGTTTTTTTTTTTTTTATAGATATTGTTTAACCGGTATCTAAAGTCATAAAGGTATAGTATATTAATTAAAACTATGAGTACCTACTGTCTCTATATCTTTGAATTGTTAAAGCAATCATATCTTTGAATTGAACAATAAAGAAGTCTAAATGTTATCATTCATTTACGGAATGTGGATATTGAATTGACTTTTAGATAAATGTAGTTTTATTTAATAATTTATTTACGAACAATGAATATTGAATTGGCTTATCTAAAAAAATGTAGTTTTATTTAATAATTTATTTACGGATAATGGGTATTAAATTGACTTATCTAAAAAAATTTTACAAATAGGTATATAAAATTTGGACGAGTGGTGATCTTCCACCGTGCGTTTTTCAAGGCACTTTCTTCAATGCACAATCACTCTTTGGAATCAACTTCCAGCGGCAGTATTTCCAAACAGATACGACATCGTAATCTTCAAGAAAAGAGCATATTCTTTTTTAAAAGGTCGGCAGCATACCTGCAATGCCTCTGCTATTGTGGGTGATCATGGGCGGCAGTAGTCACTTATCATCAGGCGAGCCGCGTGCTCTTTTACCCCTGTGTTATATAAAAAAAAGAAACTATAAAAGTATTTAATTAATATGTTGTGTACAGTATACTTGATGAAATGATTGTAATTATTTTATTTAGTACTAGTTACTTGCCCGTAATTTTGTACCCGTGAATTTTGAAAGTAGGTAACCATTTTTAGATAACGTATCAAATAATAAATAAATCATACACCAATATTTAAGTTAGACCTTTAAGAATACAATTGTGATAATTGCATTCATTTTGGAGCAGTAGTTTTTGCATGATGCCACAAAAAATATTTATTATTATTATTATTTCAGCTCTTAACTGTCCACTGCTGAACATTAGCCTTTCCCATAAGGGAAGTTTTGCCAGTAGTTGCTACGTTTGGCAGGCGTGTTGTTAACCGCAGTTAGGCTTTTACAGATCTTTTAAGCGGGACGCTGCTGCCTATCCGTCTACCATAAGCTCCCTTATTCGCCTCTTACGACACCCACGTGAAAGGAGTGGCCTATTCTATGCTGGGACCGACACGGCGAAATATTCATACAAAATAAAATTAAGGAAAAGTCCATATATAGTTATATATAGTTCATATATAAAGTCCAGTAAGTACTTTATATTGTTTTCAATTTCGTGTATAATATAGTATATGTCATATATTATATGTGTAAGTATATTTGTTATTCATATATATTTATTCGTTTATATATGTAATTTTAGTATGTATGTATATCAATAATTAGTAGTACCGCATTCGAGTATTCTGACACTTCCCTATGGTTGAATGGGGGAGAATGCTTTTAGCATTAAGTCCGCCATGTACACATATTTGTAATGATGAATAAATAAATATTTAAAAACAGCTAAAATACCTCATATCGGTTTGTCTTAAATATTTCACGTTATTATATTAGTAAGATTATTATCCTCAGGAGTTGAGGTCTCATAAAAGTTGCTATCGCTCGTGTCATATCGCTCTGTCTTTACATAGTGATATGACGAGAGTCGGTCTGTTTGAGTCACTTGTCCTGCAACCGCATTAAAGTAAGCTCAAGTTATCTTAGGAGTATATCTGTTTCTAGCTACAGTTCTTTGTTTGAGTTTCTAAGCTTATTATTCTATGATTACAAACTGTTCTGGTATGTTTTATTTGGGAGCATTTGTTTGAGGTTAAATTCAGCATTGAAGTTTAGTAAATTGAATAAAGTAAAAACAAGAAGATTGCCTCTGGTTTTGACAATGAAGTTAGCGCATTTAATTTTTCTATGCAAAATTGTTATTGCGCAATTATAATCAGAAAATATATGTACACATAATTTATCTTGACGTATCTATAATTAACTATTTAACAAATAAAATTTGTGTTTACAAATTAGAAAGATGCTAATAGTATAAAATAAAATAAATATAGAAGTTATAAGGGTATCACTCATAACTAAAACGCAAAATTGTAGAGAAAATGTTGACCCGCTTTTCTCGAAGCATTTGTATGGAGACATTCTATTTATATATTATAAGTACATATATGTATCACTTTTTTCAGGTAGTTTTTAATTTAGAGGGATTGATGCAACAAATTTAGTTTCTCTTATTTTTATGTAAACAAAAAAAATTATAATGTATTTGTATGCATTTTTCAATGTATATATATATATATATATATGTGTGTGTAATAGTTTTTACATGTTACTTGAATAATACAACATTGATTGGAGGTATTCAGTTTTTTGCTAATACATTATATTATTATTAAATTCGTTATCATCATATCAGACGTTAACTGTCTACTACTGAACACAGGCCTCCTCCTTGGGGGTTGCCAGTAGTTGCCACGCTTGGCAGGCGGATTGACAACCGCAGTTAGGCTTTAAAACATCACTTTAAGAGGGACGCTGCTGCCCCATCCCTCGACTTAGTCTGGACTCGGCATAGAATGGGCTACTCTATTCTTTCCTATGCGTGTCGGAAGATGCGACTAAGAGAAATTAATGGTCGAGGGATGAACAGCAGCGTTTGAATATCACGAAAGACTAACTGCAGTTGCCAACCCGCTTGCCAAGTGTGGCAAAACTCCTGCAATAGGAGGAGACCTATGTGGAGAAGTAGACAGAAGGCTAATATGACGATGATCATGATTAAAAAATAAATGAAATTTTTCTCATATGTGCCTTACTTGATGAAGATTCTTAGTATTCACTATAACAAAGCGTTCTTCGAAGGTCCCATGCGAGCGAGATATAATGACATTTTGTAAAATAAAGGTGGTGTAAAGTTAACTAATGTTGCTTAATTATTTATTATATGGTATTGAAAAATTTTTTTATAACACAAGGGACAAACGAGCATGCGGCTCACCTGATGGCAACTGACTATCGCCGCCCAAATATTAGATCTTATGAGAAAGCATCATTTAAACATAAAATATAGAAATATGTTAGTCACAACACAATTCAATTACGTTATCTCGCAGTGATGTGAATTGTACAAGGTATTTGGTAAAATATAAAGTACATAAAGTGCCTTACCTTAGTTTATGATTAATACTCGCAAGACGCCGGTATTGATGTCTATGGTTACGGTCAGTCAGACCACCGGGAACGAGGGCGTTCACAGGGTTGCCACTAACGCGAATTTTAAAAATATTAAAAAAAAAAAACTTAACACAGTTGTAGGTTAGTATATCAAATATATTTTTAAATTATGACAATATATTTTTTTTATTAATTAGTCGATTAATTGTTTTTACGATTTGATAGTTGACTTTCTTTTTTTATATTTCTTTTTTATACGACTTAAAATGGCAAACGAGCTGACGGCCCACCTGATGAAGAGTGGTAACCGTCGCCTATACACATGAGCAGTACCATGGACATAACAGAGTATACTGTTTCGCCCATGATACCCCCATGCATTGCCATTTCTGAACACTTAGGTGTTATTCCTCTGTACCATGTAAATTCACGTTATATCCCACCCTTCAAACCGAAACACAGCCATGCAAACACAACTGCTTGACGGTAGAAACACGAATGGATGGTATATGTTATGAGATATCTGGACTACTTATAAACTGATATTAATAATCCATTTTTGTACCAATTTGTGACAGTTTTGGGATGGTTTCATAATAAGTTCATTAAAAATATAACCTAGTTTATTTTAAATAAAATATTAAAGTAATAACAACGGATGGATGAGATGGATAGGATGAAAAATGGATTCTCTTATCGCTTCATATCTATGTAAATACGTTTAATCATTCAGATAATAATATGTTTAAATAAAATATCACATGTTATGTACATGTAGAAATATAAGACGTGAATTTATACGAATTATTATTCTAAATTCTACGAACATAGAATAACTTAAAAACTACGTAGGTATCAAATTGTTTAAGAATGCAGTTGAGTAATTAAAGAATGCTCTTACTAAGTTAGAATGCTCTTACTAAGTTAGAATGCTCTTACTAAGTTAGAATGCTCTTACTAAGTTAGAATGCTCTTACTAAGTTAGAATGCTCTTACTTAGCTCTTGTGATTTACATCAAATAAAAATTGAAGAATAGGTTTTTTTTGAACGCTTTTAAATTGTTTTAATCTTTATAAAATTTTTAAAAACTATCAAAAGAGTTTATCGCATTTAAGTTTAAAACTCGTCCATTTAGGTTATATTAAAACTGCGAACTACTAAATGTATGGTAACTATAAATTACAATGCAAATCTGTTAGCCTGTGACATTGTCACTGGTAAAAGCATATTTTATTCAATTGTCACTTAAATATATTTTTTAAAATTTAATTATATATGCGTTTTTTTTAAATTTTATAGTAATTTCCAAATAAGTGGATATTGTTCTGTAAAATAAAAAAAAAACATTAAGTAGTTGCACAGTTAAAAACTGCAATGGTCGTATTCGTGTGACAATAATTTTAAAAATAATTATATAAAGCTAAAAAAAATATTAATAGGCTACTGCAAATAATGAGTATAATAAAAAAAAAAATGGTGACACCATTTTATTTTCAAAACGTCTAAAATAGATAAATTCAACATGGCTAGTTCTCAAGGAATTTATATATGGTTGTATATGGTTATACATAATATTACTAACAAGTCGAGACAAGTCGCGGATTTCAATTTTCGAATGTTATGCAATGAAACCGGTTATTTAAAGCTCTCCATAGACGGTAAGATTTGTGATCCGACTATGGAGTCGATTGGTAAAGTCGCTATTGAATAATTTAATCAAATTGATCAGTCGCATGCATGTGCGAAGAGATCGATTGTGGCTGGAGGTGAAATCGTCGAGTTAAATTATAGTTAAAGTTAGTTAACGTTTTAACCGTTCTACACTATAATTAGTGATGATCTAATGATGTGCATAATTAAATGTTCAAAAAGCAGAAATGTTAACTTAATTAACTTAATAAAGTTTACTACTGCGAGATTATGTTATTTGAATTTATCAAATTGGCCCTTTCATGAAACTGATCAAACAAGCAAACATTTGCAAAGTTTCCCCTCTTTTACAATTTTATAAAATACAGTCGAATTGAAAACCTAACTCTATTTGAAGTCGCTTAACAATTTGGAGATCGACCACGAAATGAAATTTCGAATTTTCGGCCTCAATTTTTTGTTTTACTTTGAACCGAAATCGACCCAGTAAATGGTGTTTTACATTATGTTCATCATAAACATTTTTAATATTTTCAAACGGTATGTATTATGCAATTTTAACATCAAATTTGGGTTTCGTTTGGCCCCGAAATTTTGGATAATATGGGCCCTCTGATATAAATAAAAAACGTGATTTTTGTAAATACTTGTGTAAATATGTGTGACTAAGTCAAAATATTGAAATATCTTCCAAATAGTATCAATGATTTCTCTCTTTATGTCTCCAATGTTTTGTTTGCCATTCACCGAAGACAAAATATAAAATTATAGCTCCTTACATACTGTATATTAATGTACGTAATAAATGTAATAAAAATATACATAAAAATATAAGGAGTGTATTGAAAAATCCCAGCAAGGAAAAAGTGTTGCTCCTTTTCCTAGAAATACCACATTGCATATTTTGATTAAGTGGTCTTCTTTGAGTCAGCCGTGATTCAAAAAGAATCGGATCTTGCTGAATTGAGGTGGATATTTACCTTTACTCACTCTGTGGTTAATGTAATAGTTAATATATAGTGTTATAGTTAATGTAATTTATTATTTAAATATGCAATATGTGACTTTTGTAATGTATGGTGGATTCAAATGTGTTGTATTAAGTAAGTTTGTACGTGAGACGTTTTTAAAATACTACCAGATACCAATTTTACCAGAGGGAGACTTTGTACAAAAGTCGTTTGCTTGAGTACCTCTGTCCCATTCGTGTATCAACCGTGAAGCAGTTGTGTTTGCATGGCTGTGTTTTGGTTTGAAGGGTGGGATATGGCGTGAATTTACAGGGTACAGAGGAATAACATCTGAGTCCTCAGGAATGGCAACGCATGGGGGGTATCATGGGCGAAACAGTATACTCTGTTACGTCCATGGTACTGCTCATGTCTATAGGCGACGGTTACCATTTTCCATGAGGTGGGCCGTCAGTTTGCCATTCTAAGTTGTATAAAAAAAATATACTAATCTTTACCAGTGACTTCGTTCCTGTGATTGGCGTATGACTTACTCGCAGGGCTAAATAGTAGCTTATGTTTTTCTCTAACCAAAATAGTATTTGTATATCAAATTTCAAGACGATTGTTTGAGTTTTACCTTACAAACAAGATTAATTTTTGTCATTTCTTAAAATTATGAATACAAATTTAAAATTTTTATATTTGTTATATGAAATAAAAAATTTGTTCGAGGTCACTGTCGACCATTTTTTCTCTTTAAATGTTAATGATGATATTAAATTCCAAGGCCCGACTAGATAGATTATATTTCACGAAAGATTATAACATTGTCTTAAATAATTATAAATGAATAACAAGTTTTACATAACCACAATAATTTTTATATAAATTCAAAATATAGAAATTTGACCTCTTGATTATTTAATTTCAAGTTAATTTCGTGTAGTGGCAATGGGCTGGTCACATAGCTCGAAGAACCGACAACCGATGGGGAAGAAAGGTTCTTGAGTGGCGACCCTGATTTCAAAATCTATATAGTGACTAGTATATACTAAATGCACTGCAGGGAGTCAGTGGATGCAGGTGGCTCAGGACCGTTCCTTACGGCAGTCTATGGGGGGAGGCCTATGTCCAACAGTGGACGGATAATGGGTTGAAATGATAAGGATGGAGTTAATTTTAGTATGTAAATAAGTTATATTTATACATTAAATCGTTCCACTTATTTGTATTTGATAGGGGGCGATAATTGACGTCATTGATAATATACGTCATATAATGACTATTAAAATATATAATAAAATACCAAAATCAATAAGAGAACTACCAGTAAGTCACTTTAAATTACGGTTAAAAAAATGGTTACTGGAATGCAATTTTTATTTAATAAATGATTTTTTAAAAATTAAATGAATGTATGTAAATGTGTAATTCATTTGTATTGTATGACATTTGTTATATTATTGACTTGTTATGTATTTGTTTTTGTTTAGTTTGTATTTGTATTTGTTTAGTCTGCTACCACTAGTATGTGTGCGGCTGCCAATATTTATGGATTGATCCTATTAGGCTATTAATATACGTAAGCCACTAAATTATAATACTAAATTTGCATGCCTTTAGATAAGGCGAAATGTGTAGATCTATTATATTTAAGACCATTATTATTACCACATTTCTAGCAAATAAATAAATTATTATTATTGACATACGATGCATTACAGACATAACAGACTGTATTATGTTGAAATGTCATTCTGAAGGACTAAAGTGGTATGCCTTCATACCTTGAAGTTTCACTGCCATATCCCGCACTCAAATTTCTTACCGTTCTTCTCAGCTGAAATTGCATTCCGAACAGGGCGGTAAATTTATAAAAAAATGATAATTTAAAAATTAATATAATTAAGTTTTTTCGAATAAAATGATTTTTATTTATTATTCTTATTTTGAAACAATTATGTAAACACACAAACTAAAAACAAAATTAAAAGACGGTCTATAATTTTTTGCTAATTATATGTATCAATGCACGACACATGTATTTGTTTTTATTTTTTTATTTAAAAGGACGTTAACTGAAATACTATGTTAAAACTATATATATGAAGTTCATCAGAGGGAGACTTTGTACAAAAGTCGTTTGTTTGGGCACCTCTGTCCCATTCCTGTTTCTACCATGAAGCAGTTGTGTTTGCATGACTGTATTTCGTTTGAAGGGTGGGATATGGCGTGAATTTACTGGATACAGAGAAATAACACCTGAGTCCTCAGGAATGGCAACACAACAACAGGGTATCATGGGCGAAACAGTATACTCTGTTATGTCCATGGTACTGCTCATGTCTATAGGCGACGGTTACCACTTTCCATCAGGTGGGGCGACAACTTGTTTGTCTTTCTAAGTTGCTATAAAAAAATGTAGATGAATTCAAAAAGATGAAATTTAATATGAAATTTTATGTGTCAATGAATCTATTTGTATT